CTGGCCCCTTAAATAATGAAAGGACTGGGAACCAGTCCGTGGGGCGGTTTTATTGCGTAAAATCAACTATGGAGGGCGCCATTTAAATCGAAGTCAGTCGCTAGAGGGCTCGGCCGTGGGAACGCTAGTCTGGTACTATACTATATACTACTGGTAACAACTTCAGAACTTGCTTTTGCGCTTGAGAACGAGTGGAGAACCGTTTGTTGGCGTGGTTCGGTTTGGTGTTTTGCCACGGTTTGTGTCCGCTTTTGTTGTAATGCTTGACGGCCCAATAGTAACAGGTAAAGTTACAGAAGAACGATTCGCAGTGGCCAACTGAAAAAGAAGAATGCGTGATAAATTTGGTTGTATTCATATCATTTTGAGCCTATTACTACTAGCCTAGTGGACGTCGTCTACATGGGGTTCATTACTAATTAGTATTACCCTGTTCCTATAATAAGGAAACAAAGTCCACTTTGACTTTCTCAAACTAACTAACCATTAACTTAAGAAATCATTACTCAATGCTGATGGGTCTAGTTTAGGTAAATTTTTAAAATATCTAAGCAAGAAAACTTCAAATTTTAACCCGAGTTTGGCAAAAGACAACCACTCAGTTGAATCACACCATTTTCTTTTTCGTCTGGTTACCGGACTCAGGCTTTTGGATTCATCTAAATAAATCTCCATCCCAGTCAAGGAACCAGACTCAAAAACCAAAAGCCCTGTTCTCTTTTCTTTCTGATATGAAAGAGGACATCACCAACAACTTGTTTAGACAAGTTATTTTAAAAAAAAGTAGAATCTGTTCCCTTTTATAGTAGGAACAGGGTGCTAAAGGTAATGAACTCCATCTACATTGCATTGTGATGATTGCGACTAAAACAGTCAGTCGTCATAGTCGTTCTCGTAGTATAAATGAAGACAATGTCCAACATGGGCTAGGGGCCATATCATCACCTGATTATTCATGCATCTGTACATGTAGGGCCTACATATACATCTCATTTACGCCTACATGTAGGTGTCTTAAATTCTAGTACATGTATTTTTGTAATTGCCTTGGGTGCTTGCCGTTTGTACCCATAGTGTAGTACCCTGGCAGTGGCATACTTTTTCTTGATGCATTTTCATTTTATTGCTTGTGCCTAGGGCCTATATGCAGAATTTACCGTAGTGTACTGCATCATCCTGTGCAAAATGAGCTTGTGAAGTTAGCGGCAGAGAGACAAGCCATCTCATGTTGAGAATGGCATTGTGGCAGACCAGATTTTTCTGCACCTCATTCCTGTTGAAGGCCCTTCCCTGGGCTACAAAAAGGACATCCTTCGCTCACCGAAATTCACAAGTCTCCCGTGGCTCCTGGTCCAGATGGAGCCAGACCTTACGCACTAGTGTACCCGCCACGAACTCGGTGCACAAGACCTCTGCCAGCCAAACCCTAGACAAGGAAAGTCTGGCCAAGAAGCTTTTCCATCAGCTTGTAGGAGGCCACAGGGCCGCCATTGCTCAGTGCATAACACTGGTGGAGTCCACTCACCATGGAAAGCAGGCACAGGCCAGGGAACTCTTGGCGGAAATTTTGGCGTACCTGAAGAAGAAGACAGCAGAGAATGATGGAATTCCAACTTCGTTCCGAATAGGTTTACATACTGTTGTAATTCGGAGAGCATTTTTTTTCAAATGTTTCTGTTGTTGGGATATTACCAGTCTGTCCTTTGTATGTGCATAGATCCTTTTAAGAAAGTTTTATTTACACAAAAACTCCACATAACTACAGTTAGTTATAATTCAGTTTAGAGTGAACAAGACTTGTACACATTAATCTGGCAATCTTTCAGTTAGCAATGAGATTTCACACATCACATAGTGTCTCTTTCAAAGATACGGGCAAAAAGTGTGATTGATTGCAGAGGGGTAGGGTTAAACCTTGATTCTAATTTCTCCCTTAATCCTCCCAAATCCATCACCCTCTATGAAACTGGGAACGCATTCATTGAACCCTCAAAGGCGCATTCAGCCATACACGTATGTAAAGTAATAGCGGCTAAGCTCTGCTTGCCTGAGTTCTTCAAAATCCTCCAGACCGTTCTGACGGATTAAGGATGTTATACATGTAGGTTACAAGTTGTGGTTTACTGTCAAAGTAGTTGAACAGGAAGTCCACCAGGGTTTGTGAAAAGCATCAACTGTGGTCAGCACAAAGTTGCTAAATTAATAGTGATATGTTAATACACTGACCTGATTTTTGGGGTCTGCATATTGATTTATGTATGACAGGATTGACAGGACCACCTGGTGCAGGGAAGTCCACGTTTATAGAAGCATTCGGCAAGCAGTTGACTGAGGCAGGCCACAAGGTAGCAGTGCTGGCGGTGGACCCATCCTCGTCCTACAGCGGAGGTAGACACATTCATTCGGCTGATGTATCCCAGCTCTCGCTGCTTTGGGATGTTCTTTGTGGAGCTGTACATGTACTCTGTCGTTAATCCTAACAGTGCCAGATGTAGCCAAGTGCAACTGGTGTAAAAATGTTTAGGATCATGTCTTGGAAATCAATACAAATTGATTTAAAGGCCCATTTTAATGTTTAAAAGAGGGAGCAGTCCATTTGAACAGCGCCACTGTTGTGACAAGTAATCACAGACTGTCAGGCGGCATAGCTCTGTGGCAAGTCTAGTCATGGATCTGAGTCAGGTTTCTCACTGAGACGTAAGCATTCAGTAGGGTTTCTAGCTCCAAAACCTTTGAGAATTTGGTTTCAAACCACTCATTTATTGCCATTATAGTTGAAGATTAATTGTAATGACCATTAAAAACAGAATGCATATATGTGTGGTTGTCAATTTGCAACACCAATTTGCATGCTTCATTACAACCTTACATTGTCAGACATGAGAACATGTTAAGGTAAAAACAGATAAATATAAGATTATTACATGCGACAGGTTTAACTTTAAAATCTGGATCCAACCAGACCTGAAGAAGGAAATTTTTCTCTGTAGGTTGTCTGCATCTCCCTTCTTCACTGCTATCTTGTTTGCTGAATTCCCCGCTCCCCACTGCTTCTCTGGGTTTTAGGTTCCTTGCTGGGGGACAAGACAAGGATGCCTGAGCTGACCCGAGACATGAGTGCCTACATCCGCGCCTCACCCACAGCTGGCACCCTAGGTGGGGTGGCACGTAACACCAACGATGCCATCGTCGTCTGTGAGGGTGCTGGCTTTAACATCATCCTGGTTGAAACTGTCGGTAGGAAAACCCTTTTTATCTCCATTGGCCAAATTTACCCAAGGTGTTCTGTCGTTCAGAGTGATAACCCTCTAAATTACTCCCCACTCTGCCGAAATTGTCTACCTCTATGCATTCTTTTCATAGAGATTAATTATGTTCTTTTTAAGGGGATATTCTGAATCAATACAGTTTTAAAGTGATGTGAAACTTCGGTTTCTTGCAAGCATTTGGCCTGTTAGTTTATTTTGTTTTTTATCAATGTCTTTTGTGTGGAGTTTTTGATATCATTTGTTTTCTTTTGGAAATTAGCTAAATGATAACCTCCTGAATGTGATTTTCTACTTCCCCCAACCCCACTCCACCATTTTGTGTACAGAAAGAGTGTCTATCAGCTGATTTTTAAGTTTCTTTATAAACATTGTAATATGAAACAATTTTTTGGGCTTCAAGGTGTCGGTCAGTCGGAGTATGCAGTTGCGGACATGGTAGACATGTTAGTGTTGTTGGTGCCTCCAGCAGGCGGTGATGAACTGCAGGGTATCAAGCGAGGCATTGTGGAAAAAGTGGACCTCATTCTAGTCAGCAAGGCCGATGGGGAGCTCAAGGTGCCCAGCCGACGGGTCAAGGCCGAGTACACCAGCGCCCTCAAGATCATGCGCAAGAGGTCTCAGGTCTGGTCTCCCAAGGTAAGGAGGGGCTCAGGTACAGATTGCTTGATCTGAATTGCTGGAATTGTCACGTGCACAGGCTCACTGGAGGTTCATGAGTTGTGCATGTTGTGTAGATTTACAAGGGTGTTTACGAGGGAGTTTATGAGGGCTTGAGTTGGCCTTTATTTGCACTCAAGGTCATTGAGCAATAGAAGGGAACGATGGATGAGGTGGAACTCTACACAAGAAGGGCAGGTGATACAGGAAGCTCACCCCATGATTTGATGAAAGACTGATGTTCAGAAAGGTCAAGCACAATATTGCCCAAAGCTTAATCACTTCGTGCCGGAGCATTTTTCAATGCTGATGATGCTGGGCCGGCATGACTATCATTTTTTCCGTTTTCAAAATCCTTCAAAAATTCATCATTTCATTTAACGGTCGTTTATAGACGCTCGAAGTAATCTT